TTGAAGGGAGAAATATCAATAACCTCAGATACCCAGATGACACCACCCTTATGGCAGAAAGCAAAGAAGAACTAAAGGGCCTCTTGATGAAAGTGAAAGAGGAGAGTGAAAAAGTTGGCTTAAAACTCAACATTCAGAAAACTAAGATCATGGCATCTAGTCCCATCACTTCATGGCAAACAGATGGGGAAACAATGGCAACAGTGGGAGACTTTACTTTTGGAGGCTTCAAAATCACTGCAGATGGTGACTGCAGCCATGAAATTAAAAGACACTTGCTCCTTGGAAGAAAAGCTATGACCAACCTAGACAGCATATTAAAAAGCAGAGACATTACTTTGCCAAGAGAGGTCAGTCTAGTCAAAGCTATGGTTTTTCCAGTAGTCATATATGGATGTGAGAGTTGGACTATAAAGAAAGCTGAGCACCTAAGAATTGATGCTTTTGAACTGTGGTGTAGGAGAAGACTCTTGAGAGTCCCTTGGACTGCAAGGAGATCCAACCAGTCCATCCTAAAGGAGATCATTCCTGAATATTCATTGGAAGGACTGATGCTGAATCTGAAGCTCCAATACTTTGGCCATCTGATTCGAAGAACTGACTCATTTGAAAAGATCCTGACGCTGGGAAAGACTGAAGGGGGGAGGAGAAGGGACAACAGAGGGTGCGATGGTTGGAAGGCATCACCGACATGATGGACATGAGTTTGAGTAGGCTCCAAGTGTTGATGATGGACAGGGAAGCCTGGCATGTGGCAGTCCATGGGGTCACAAAGAGTCAGACACGACTGAGAGAATGAACTGAACTGCAACTTAGAAAAAAAATTCAGGCTACAGTTGTTAGCAGGACACTTAATACTTCTGGTCTGTGGGGAAAATTAGAACAGAATGCTCACAAGTCAACCTACATATAGCCTGTCCAGGAAAAAAAAAAAAGTATTTTTAAACATAACCCCTTCCTCAACATTCCTTTCATTTAATTTTTGTAACAACAGTGTACATATGTTATTTCATTTAATACAGCTGCACATGGATTGCTTTCTCAATCTGAATTTACTTGCAACAGGGAAAAGAAGAATTTATTTCAGAGAGAATTTTGTTTAGGTAATGAGTGATTAGTCCCTTCACAGGCGGATAAAGCGTACTGAAAGTTTGTACTCTCTCTGAATCTGCCTAGGGCCCTGTTCCCTCTGACAAAAATCATCACTTCTGTCAGCCTGGGGGAGATACATGGACCCCAGGCTGAACAGTTTCTTTCAGGAGACTGGGCTCTGCCCAGATAAGAGAGAAAAGACCACATATTTCTCATTCAAAGTTAAGGAGACCTCCCTGAATACACATATGCAGACAGGCTCCTTGGAGGTCAAAAAGGGAGGGGCCATCACCTCATAGTAATTGATGTCAACTACCTATAAGCCTGTTCACTAGAATCCATCTTAGCTAAGAGATGCATGTGCGCACATGGAAAGATCCTGAGATATACCGAATACAGACTCAGAACCAGGCAAACTGAAATGACTGGCATTCAAGGAAAAGCTTCAAGGAAACCTGGAAGCAATGCCCCATAAAAATGATTCAAACCACCACGAGAGTGCTACTGTCTCTCAGCCTGCCCATGTGTCTATCTGCACATACTGGACTCTTTTTCCTCCTAACAAATACTGGTTTCACTACTTTCCATCTTTGTGCAAATACTTTTCTGCAAAGCCAGAGAGCCAGGGCCTTGTCATCGACCTCTGGTCTAGTGGCTTTGGTTCTCTCACCGCCACTACCCCAGCCTCAGCCTGGCCAGAAACCAAAGCCCTGCTTCAAGCTGCTGCAGGCTGAGAGCACTTGAAATCAAACCTTGGCTTTCGGTTGTTTCATCATGTTACACTTTGGTTGTGTCTTTCTTTCCTAGTAGCATTGGAAGCAGTCAAATGGAGGAACTGTTCATTTTATAAACAAGCATTGAGCTTGTGCTAGATACTGAACAACATGTTGGTTTACAAAGAGAAATAAAAACCACTGCCAGGCACTCAAAAGCCGGGGGGGGGGGGGGGGGGAGTGGTATATAAGATGCAAAAGATACATAAAATAATGTGATAGATTCTGTAAGAGTTGCTAAAGAGTCAGAAAAAAGCATGTGTTTCTCTGCCCTGAAGCAGCAAATGGAGAAGAAGATATTACATGGAAGGAAAAATAATTCCCCACCCTTCTGAGTTCTCAGCTGAGACCTCTGTATTAAAAGACAGATTAACAAGAGAAAAACAAACAAATTTATTAATAGGTATACCTCAGGTTTATGTGAGAAATACAGGGAAGAATGAATAACTCCCCCAAATGGCTTAGAATATAGACTTAAATACCATCTTAGTAGGAAAGAGTGGTCAGGTAGGCCTTTAAGGGAGAGTAAATGAATTTTAGGAAAGACGAATGGGCCTCTAGAACAGATGAGTGGTGTGATCATTTGTGAGATTTGTCTGAATGTGGTAGTGATGTCCAGTTTCCTCTCCTGTGTTGCACCAATCTTCCCTGATTGATAAAATTCCATGGAAATGCGATTTCTATCCACTGAGTTCCTTTCTGAGGATCTGTCTATAGGTAGGTAAAGGAGTTCAAAGAAAGTCTATTCCTATATTAGCTGTTTTTCAAAGTATTACAGTTCAAAATAATCAATACACCAATGCCACATATTTTGCGGTAGCATGTCCAGAACACTCAGACATATTCTGAAGTGGCATATGCTACTACCCTTCAAGATCTACTGTGAATTCCAGGGTGCTCATTTAGGCTTGTGATGCATGATAGCGCCGTCCAATGAGCAGAGTTGTTCAGTCGCTCAGTTATGTGACTCTCTGCAACCCCATGGACTGTAGCCAGCCAGGCCCCTCAGTCCATGGGACTCTCCAGACACAAATACTGGAGTGGGTTGCCATTTCCTTCTCCAGATGAGTAGAGAGAGAACCTCAATTTTTATAGGGTGGAGGGAGAATATATTTCCTCAACCCCCACAAGAGTCACACCTTGGAGAGTTTAAACATTTTGATTTGGGGAGATTTTGAGTTTAAAATGACTGAAGAATAACCAGGAGAATCTCTGTGCCTGGAGCCTAGAAGTTTAGATAAAGATATAGACTCAAGATTCATTAGCACACAGAAGTGGAAAATCCCATAGATGGAGGAGACTGGTAGGCTGCAGTCCATGGGGTTGCTAAGAGTCGGTTGGACACGACTGAGCGACTTCACTTTCACTTTTCACTTTCATGCATTGGAGAAGGAAATGGCAAGCCACTCCAGTGTTCTTGCCTGGAGAATCCCAGGGACGGGGGAGCCTGGTGGGCTCTACCAGGTCGCACAGAGTCGGACACGACTGAGGCAACTTAGCAGAAGCAGCACACAGAAGATAGAACTAAAGGAGAGATGAAAGAAGGCAGATAAGTTGTTTATTCTTTTTGTTTTTTGTCTGTTATGACTTATTTCCCACCAGTGACTAGGCTAATACAACATAATTTGCAAATATATTAGTTAAAATTATAATTTCTAATATTCTGGACATAAATTTTTTGCACCTTATTTAACATTGCTCCATTTAGCCATTAGCTTTTTTCTTTTTTTTCAAGTTTGTATGTTTTAGACATGAAAAAAATAATAATAAACATATCTCAGAAAAAAGGTAATTCTTTCTGAGGTAGAAACCACATCTCTTCCTATATTCTACAGAAGACCCTGGTAATGAATGTGCTATCAGTAGAACCCCAATCAATTTCATAAGGCAGTTTCTGATAATGACTCTCAATATGGAGCAGATGTCCTCTTGTGTGAAACCCAATTCAGCAAACTTTGCTAGCTTCATGTGGGGCTTCAATTTAGGCACTGAATTCTCGCTGAAAACAAGGGTCAGATGTAGAGGATCTGTAGGAACTGAGGTACAGAAACCCCTTCAGTCTTCTTTTTGTATGTATTGCTTCTTTCTGCAGAGTTTAGGTTGACAATGCGTTGGATTCACTGACTTCCACGTAAGAAGCCTTGCAGTATAGAGATCAATTTTCCTAGGATCTGATTTCTCCTGGGTGAGGTGAAACTCCATGCCTCATACGCACAAAATAGAGACGAGACTCTGGAATTACTGCGCGCTCTCTCCTTCCCGCTCCCCATGCATGCCAGGTGCAGCTGCACTAGGGGCCGCCTCCTGGGTCTGTCCGGCTAATTGTGGAAACCGTGTCTGCTGTTTTATGTAACCGTGGTTTCGAAGCCTAGGATCTCTCTGTCGGGGTTAGATCCGGCGCTGGAGCTCACTAACTCCTTTCTGTCTCTGGATTCCATCTGCCCTTCCCCCTGGTTTTTCTCCCCATTCCTTTGTTCTTAGCCTAAAACGAATGTCTTCTGGGACCTCACAGACGGCGCGAGACAGAGGCGAAAACACCGGCAGGATCCGGAAGCTTGGATCCGAATTCTCCCGGGAATTCTGGCAAATAAATCTTTTAAAAGAGTACAGTCCACAATATTGTAAAGTAATTAGCCTCCAACTAATAAAAATAAATGAAAAAAATTAAAAATGACTCATCCATTAAATTAAAATATAAATAAATACAGTACGAGAGGAGAGGGGCAAGATAGGGGTAGAGGATTAAGGAATACAAAGTACTATGTATAACATAAATAAACTAAAAGGGCATATTCTACAGCACAGATAATGTAGCCAATATTTTATAACTAAATGCAATCTGATTTATAAAAATATTGAATCGTTGTTGGTACACCTGAAATTAATATAAAATTGTAAATAGCTATACTTCAAAAGTAAACTAATAAGCATGAAAGGAGAGGATCCATTAGAGGGCTCTGCGGAGGGTGGAAGAGGATAGGGAAACAGCAGAAATGACTAACAGTCGAGTGGGCGGGGACAATTGGGACCGCTTCCCGCTCGCGCGCTTTCGGTTTTCAGTCAGGTCCGCTGCTCTTGTATATCTGGGGTAAAAGCAGCCCCTTCTGTCTCCAAGGTTTTCGGATCAGCTTAGTCATGTCTGGAAGAGGCAAGGGCGGCAAAGGCTTAGGCAAGGGTGGCGCCAAGCGTCATCGCAAAGTCCTGAGAGATAACATCCAAGGCATCACCAAGCCCGCCATTCGGCGCCTTGCTCGGCGTGGGGGAGTCAAACGCATTTCCGGCCTCATTTACGAGGAGACCCGAGGCGTGTTGAAGGTGTTTCTGGAGAACGTTATTCGGGACGCTGTCACCTACACGGAGCACGCCAAGCGCAAGACGGTCACTGCCATGGACGTGGTCTACGCGCTAAAGCGGCAGGGACGCACGCTCTACGGCTTCGGAGGTTGAGCTGCTGCCCCTATGCTGTGTGTGACGGTCTCAAAGGCCCTTTTTAGGGCCAACCACACGGTCAGCTGGAGAGCTGGACACTTAAATATAGGATCACTTTTGTATTTGACTAGAGTGGGGTCAGAAGTAGCGAATCCTAAAAATGCCAACGCTCGGAAGATAAGTCATTTACCAAAAGCTGCTCTTCACTTTGCTTCGACTTGTTTGTTTGGGGGCTCGCTATCAATTGTAATCGTTGGGCCAGGCTGTGGAAAGTAGTTTGTGTGGGCTTCACTTCCCAGCTCTGGTGATCACAATCTTCTCACCTGGGAAGGTGCAAGAGCACTAGCAAAGAAATAAATCCAGTAGTCGGCCATTCAAAAATGAAACAAATATGGGGTTGTTAGGTCAAAGGTAGGTTCATTTAATTTTAAACATTCGGAAATTATCTGGCCAGCATATGGAAGGTTATTTCGGTGTCCTGTGTTTTTTATGCTAGAGGCGCCTCACAGTTAGCCGCTGAGAGCAGTGTGTGTACAACATTCAAGGGAGAATTTACTTAAAGATTAAGAGATGTGTCTTTCGGTGATAATATTACAAAGATACAAATGCAGAAACAAATACGAATTTTCAATAAAAGCTGAGCACAGACTACAGAACTTCAATGTGAAAGCACGTCTTCAAGAAACAAAATGGTATGTGATTTTTCCATTAAGGCCTGTTGCAGCTTAGAGTAAGAGACTGTCAGAAACATACCATCAATACAGAAAGCACAGTTTAAGTTTTAATAAGGCAAAAGCAAATTCTTATAGTCTTTCTCTATACTACCACTGCTAAATTGCCCTAATTTGAATTGAAGCGTAGGTCCACACCTCTTGTCCTTAAATCTAATTGTAGTTTTGTAGCTATTACGTTTGCAAGTAAAAGGGTTTTTTTTGGTGTTCCAGGCCTATGATTTTAGAGGTTTCCAACTCTTTGCAGCCCCATGCACTAGGGGAAAAAATAATACATAAATACACAGCCCAAAAGTACATGGTGTCACATATTTGGGATGATGTGAAATGTAAAAGGTGATTATTATAAGAGTCCTAACAGCAAAGGTCACTGGCTGCTGGAAAATGATCAGGCTTGCCTGTAGAGATCGGGCTTGTATCAGGCTGTTAAGGAGCAGAATGCCTGGCTTCCTGATAAGATATAGAGTAAAGGGGAGGGGTAGGATCTGGGAGGGAGAGGCAAGAATAACATTTGTGAAGATGTCCAAGTGAGAAGTAAACAAAAGGATTCAATGTTCAAGATGTTTCATCTTCCCTTCAAATTAAAATCTCGACAGCAACTGATGACATTTCTATTTCAAACATCACTATGATTTTTTTTTTCATTTTAAAGGCAATACAGATTGAATATATGAGATCCTCTGACGAAGGAGATTATCTAAAGTTTGAAGAGAAATCAAAGAATAAGGGAAGGAGGGTGGGACGTATCCATTATCTAAACTAGTGATTCCCAAAGTGTGGTATCTAGTCTAGGAGCATCAGCTTACCTGGGAATTGCTAGAAATCCAAAATCTTGGACCCAGATTTTGCAAAACCCCAGACCTGTTGCATGAGAAACTCTGGAAAGTGAGATCTAGCAATTTGTATTTTAACAAACCGTCCAGTTGATTCTGAAACACATTAAAGTTTGAGAACAACTGGTTAAATAACAGTTTTTCTTTAAATCGAACAAAAATATTTAGAATCTGAGTATATGTTGCCCTAATTTGTTTACCATATGTTAAATTTTGCATCTTTGATACCAAAAAAAAAACTTTAGGTGAATGATCCTAATAAAAAAATTTTAGGACAAAATATTACAGGAGGAAAAGGTACAATTGCTTATTTCCTTAAAGCATTTGGGGCAAAAAGAAAAAAAGCATGAATAAAAAAAATGTAGTCAGCTTCTTTTACTAAATATCATTGGTTGTGTTTTAACAGTACTTAATTTTGTTATGAAGGGATATATTTCTTTTTTTATTCTTAAATTTCTTTGAGATTACAGTTTAACCATTAATTATACATCTTCTTTACAGTGATTTTAATAGTGATCCCTCTTCCCACCTTGTCTACCCCACTAAATACTATTAAAATAAGGCCTGACTGAATCTTCTGTTAGCCATATCCAGTCTCTGAATTTTGTTGAATCACAGAGTATACATTATGCATAGTTTTGTGTTAATAAATAGTTTTGTTTCTGTCGTTCTTAACCATCTGTAACAGTGAGGAATATAATGCTATTTCACCTCTACTTTGGTAACAAAATAATTTCCTTCCTGTTTCTACCTCCTGAGTGGCTCAAGTACTCTTTAAGCCAGCCCTGGCTGTCAGCTTGTTCCTCCCATGGCTGATTCAGGACTTTCAGTACAATACATGCGTACAAATGACTGTTTAGTCTGCATGTCTACTTCCATTACCATGATGATAGAGGCACTTAAGTGTCACTGGCTAATCAGACATCACACTGGACCAGTTTGAAGACAAGGTTTACCTTATCTTTCCAGACTCCCATCTTCTCTGAATAGCAGCATTATCCTCCTGAAGGCTAGATGTGCCTGTCATCTTTCACAATGTTCTTCCTCTGAAACATTCGACTCCAAACTTTATATTGTAGCTATTGATATACATGTTATTTCTCTATGTGAGCCAAAAGGATAGAATTATCATTAATACAGAATATTACCAGTAAATATAAATATGTATGGATATATAGAAAACTATCAGGAAGAATGTTCACAGAAATTTGAGTGATTTATAGGTGTTGGGTTTTCTTATAATCATTGAACGTTGTGAATTGTTCCAATATCTTAAATAAGCATGTACAATTCCAGCCCCCACCCCCACCCCCACCCAGATAATCAGAAGATGTTGGGTGGATGGGGAATGAGGGAGAAAGGAAGAGAGATTCTGGGCTATATGGACCATGGCAAATCTTAACTTTGCCACAGTCCCATTTTATCATTGTAATGTTGCTGAGAATTCCTGACTTTCTTACAGAAATGATTCAAGGATCAAATGAGATCTCTGTGAAAGATTAAAGTGAAATCTTTCTATGTGAAAGTCTTGTAGTGAAATGGAAACTTAAGTTGGTATATTTACTGCCTATTTCACCCAATGTAGGTCTTCTATGCTCCATAATAACTGGGGAAGCGGGAGTCAGTGTAGTCAAAATTTAAAGAGCAAAGAAGGGAGAAGGCGAGGGTGGGATGTTCTGAGAGAACAGCATTGAAACAAGTATACTATCAAGGGTAAAACAGATCACCAGCCCAGGTTGGATGCATGAGGGCTGGTGCACTGGGAAGACCCAGAGGGACAGGATGGAGAGGGAGGTGGGAAGAGGGATCAGGATGGGGAACACATATCAATCCATGGCTGATTCATGTCAATGTATGGAAAAATCCACTACAATATTGTAAAGTAATTAACCTCCAACTAATAAAAATAAATGGGAAAAAAAAGTAAAGAGCAAAGAAGACAGTGGGTAAAGGTGGGTATGAACAAGTTGGCAGGTCCAGATTTTTCCGAATTAGAGCAGAAAAATGTGAAATCATCTTAAAGAATCAAACTTGCCAGCTGACTTGACTGTTAAAATGTGTATAAAGAGTAGAAAGTTATAACAAATAGGTAACATAGCCTGTGAGAAATGTTAAATATAAATAAATAGAGCATCTTCCTACATAGATATAGGAAAGGGTAGAAGTACCAAGTAAGCACCATATCAGATATTCATGAGATACATGAAGTGCCGAGTATTCATGGCTTCTATCAGCCATCCACTGGTGACAGCCACTGTTGCCCAAAATGTCCTCTGCATTCTGAACACAGAGAAATCCACAGCTGCAATCCATAGCTGCTCAGCAAGTTATTGGTGAATTACAATGACTGCCAGACACACTTGCCCCTGTATCTCACTGACTGAACAAGCTTAAATTAGGATCAAGCACCTTCTGTCTGCTGAGTCCCCTTGCCCATTCTCATCTCTAGTCCTTTTAACTGCAGCATAAACGGGGAAGGCTGATGCCACAGAGCAAGACAGGACAGAAAACTGTGTCACTTAGCATTGGATAGTGTTGTACTTCCCCCATCATTGAAGCCTATTCTACTAATATGTATGTTAGTTTACCCTTGCTTGTCATTTTCCCTTGCTCTTTGTTTCATGTTTTAAATGGATTCAGTTAACTGTGATTTGAACATCTTTATTTGGCCTTTCTGTTCAGTGAACGCTGGCATTTCTTATCTGGTAGTAGAGTAGAAGACTATGATTACAAGAAAGTAATTTCTTACCCACACCTTATTAGAGAAGAGGGCTGGAAACAAGGGAGGAGAGGAGGGAACAAGGGGGTTGCAACCATCAAAGTACCCTCCAAGGCAGATGTACCCTGACTCTCTAGTGAGCATTTCCAGTTCTTGTCATGAGGCAGCCTTTAGAGTGAAATGGTACCCTGGTTGAGTAATGGCAGCCACTGAAGTCATCTGCCCCCAGGCTCTTCCAGTCTGATTGTAGTTTGGCTTCCCATATAGATTTGCCTGCAGGGAGCTAATGGACTGATCAGTTACACTTCTTGTTGGAAATTGTTGTTCCAATTCTTGTTCCATGAGTTCTGAAACCAGATTATTCAAGTTAGGATCTTTCCTTTTGCTGTTGTTGTTATGTAACCCGCCAGAAATGCAAAAAAGGAAAATGCTGTCTGAGGAGGCCTTACAAATAGCTGAGAAAAGAGAACCTAAAGGCAAAGGAGAAAAGGAAAGATATACCCATGTGAATGCAGAGTTCCAATGGATAGCAAGGAAAAATAAAAAAAGCCTTCCTCAGTGATCAAGGCAAAGAAATAGAGGAAAACAATAGACTTGGAAAGACTAGAGACCTCTTCAAGAAAATTGGAGATACCAAGGAAATATTTCATGCAAAGATGGGCACAACAGAGAGAAACAGTACAGTCCTAACAGAAGCAGAAGATACTAAGAACAGGTGGCAAGAATACACAGAAGAACTAGACAAAAAAGATCTTAATAACCCAGATAACCACAACGGTGTGATCACTCACCTCGAGCCAAACATCCTGGAATGAGAAGTCAAGCGGGCCTTAGGAAGCATCACTACAAACATCACTACACTAAGCATCACTAGCTTAGTGGAGGTGATAGAATTCCAGCTAAGCTATTTCAAATCCTAAAAGATGATGCTGTGCAAGCGCTGCACTCAATATGCCAGCAAATCAAGTCACTCAACTGAGAACCTCAAGCTGTACCTTAGAAAGCCCTGTGTCTGTTTGTCCCTGAAAGGTTGTTTTTGTGTGTGTGTGTGTGTCTTTTTCTGTTTTGCATATAGGGTTATCATCAGTCCCTGAAAGTTTTACCATGAGGATGAATGAGATGATGGGTGCAAAGGTGGTGCCCCACCACACTTAAAAATTACTACTTCTTAACTCAGAGTACTGACACAGGTCCTGGATCCACCCTGCATTGAGGACCTAAGCAGGTAATCAGGGTCTAGGCAGAGACCTGGAGGCGTGCTCTGGAAATTGCTGTGACCCTGGAGCAGAAAGAAGTGGCAACCTTGCTCTGCTCTTTTCTGATACATTTCAAAACTAATTAAAGCTTAAGAAAAAAAGAAGGAAAAAAAAAGTATCTTTCCTTTTCCCTCCTCTGTATTCTCACTGACTTCCATAACAAATGCTTTTAACCTGTCACTGTGCTGAGACAGAAAAGGTCTTGGCCTCTTCCAAGTTCAGATAGATTACTGAGAAGGTTAAGAAAAGGTATCACATAAGACCTGTACAGCCTTTGTGTCTGATTATATGTGAAGAAGTGCTGTGCAAGACCTTGCCCCCACTCTGCTGTCCATTAGAGGCCTTGCACTTCCATCCCCCGTCACCCCCTTCACTCCCCCCACCCCCGACCCAAACGGTACTTTGACCAAATGGTACTTCTCAGGCCTCCATTCTATTTGCTAACGGGGGGGGGGGGGGGGGGGGGGGGGCGGAGACGACTTCTCCCCAAAGGAAGACCATGCTCTGCCTGTTTGATCTCTTCCCCAAATTTCAGCTCAGAGCCCCGTTTCTTTCCTTTCACTTAGTAACCCAAAACCTGAGAAGAGACTTCCCACATGTCTGAATAAAACAGGTATAGACACTACCAGAGGCTGAAGCGACAGCCTCACGGAGTCTCTTTGTAGAACTGGGCAGGAAAGCAATCCCTTTAAGACGCAGCTCACCGAAGTGGCTTTAGGATCTGTACAAGCACCCTGTCATTCATCCCCGGTTTTGAGGGGAGTGAGGCCTCAAATTACTGGAACTTAGCGATGAAATGCAGCACTTTACTCGGCAGAAGTGTGCCAGGACCCGGATGGCGGTATCCCTCCGGAGCGGGGGAGTCAAGCGCCCGGAGGGGACCTTTCCGGCATGGTGACGAAATCCAATCTCTGCGCAGATCTCAGCCGCCTAAAACCCAATCCCGCGCCCTTTAACCCGCGAATCCCGACCGTCCCCAACTGACTCCGCCTTCTCTCAACGCACCTCCCCACACCGCCAGTCGCCCCACATCTAATCACAGCTCACCATGCTCCCGGGAAAATTACAATCGTGGCCTACAATGGAGGACAAAAGCGCTAGAAAATAGCCCCAACCTACGAGAAAACGCAGGGCCATCTCTAAGCAGCGAAGTTGAACGTTCTAGAGCGCCCAAAGAAGCGGCGGCAACGCGCCAGCCCAGACAAGCACACTGATCCAACTCTGAGGTTACTGACACCCGGGAAGGCAGCAGCAAGCAGGGGTTTAGACCGTACAAGTGGCCTTTAGCCTGTATCTGTTGAGAGTCCAGTGCTTTGCGCGCTCTAAGGTCCTCCCGTCTTGAGCGCGCCGTGCCCCACCCTCGCGGAGTATGCGAAGGCCTGCCAAGAGAGGGTGGACAAGCGACACAGCCTCTTTCCAGTGTAGTCGTGGGTGGCTCTGAAAAGAGCCTTTGGATTTGATGGAACCTCGAGCCGAGCGCACACTTCTTAAGCCCGCTCCCCGCGGATGCGGCGAGCCAGCTGGATGTCTTTGGGCATGATGGTCACGCGCTTGGCGTGGATGGCGCACAGGTTCGTGTCTTCAAACAGCCCCACCAGGTAGGCCTCGCTCGCCTCCTGCAGCGCCATCACGGCCGAGCTCTGGAAGCGCAGGTCCGTCTTGAAGTCCTGCGCGATCTCGCGCACCAGCCGCTGGAACGGCAGCTTGCGGATCAGCAGCTCGGTCGACTTCTGGTAGCGCCGGATCTCCCGCAGGGCCACGGTGCCCGGCCGGTAGCGGTGCGGCTTCTTGACGCCGCCCGTGGCCGGCGCGCTCTTGCGAGCGGCCTTGGTGGCCAGCTGCTTCCGCGGGGCCTTGCCACCGGTCGACTTGCGGGCAGTCTGCTTCGTACGAGCCATAGCGAACCGAGACGCGAACCTACGGGAGCAGCGCCGCGCAGGGCGAGTAACCAGGGGTGCGGCCGCTGCAGCAGTCTTTATAGGCACAGTCTTTTCCCAGTTGGGCGGGACAATACTTGAAAGTCCCGCGCTGGCTATCCATTGGCTGGGGCGTCATCCTCTTTGGCGCCACTGATTGGCTTGGGCCGACTCCTCCCTACGCCGCCCCACCCCCGGCCCATCCGCCTCCCTTTCTACTTTCCAGTTTGCCTAGTTTTCCCCCTCCTCGGTTTTCATTTATTTCAGGGTGAGAGTCATCATATTTGAGAGCAGCTGTGACCATGTTCCTTCTCAGTCCCTTAGGACACACTACTTGCGATACCCTCTTCCTTTCTACGCTAACTCCCAAACTGAAGCTCGGCCTTCTGTTTGCAGCACCCCCGCCCCCAGCACCCCGAACGCATTGTTACTTTTCCAGAGGTCCCCTGGCCTGGCTGGCTGGACGGACGGATCTTGTTGTTTTCCGCCTTTCGGTGCTTTAAAGGTCGGAAAGTTATCTCCCCCGCGGCAGGGCGCGAGATTCCGTTTCCAAAAGCCGAACTGGGGACCTGTACCTCCACCACTAAGGCATCTTTCTCTCTTTAAGACAGTAGACTAAAGTCAAAAGCCCAAGTCCGCCATCCTCTTCAAATCTGCCCGCTTCCTTAACAGACTGGGGGTGTCCGAGATGTATGCGTGTGACGGAACATCCCGCTGGTACTTAGACCTCAAGTTGGGCAAAGGCCTGGGGAACAACTGGTGTCGAGCACTGGACATCCGACTCCAAATATAAACCATCGCGGAGCACTTAGAACTGAAGCGACCGTGGCGCGCTCAAGTTTCCTACCTTCACCTGGCTTAAGTCCCAGGTTTTACGATCGATCTCAGCCCAGGCTGGGCTTCCCCGTTTACTACCGCCAAGGTTGGAGTCGAGAAGTTACTGTTAACAACTCTTTATTTGAAAGCGTGGGTGGCTCTGAAAAGAGCCTTTTGATTTTACAGATGCCTCTTCTACAGGAGCGCTAGGTAGGGCTTCCGGAGACCGGGCCTCACTTGCCCTTTGCCTTGTGGTGGCTCTCGGTCTTCTTCGGGAGCAACACAGCCTGGATGTTGGGCAACACGCCGCCCTGGGCGATGGTGACCTTGCCCAACAGCTTGTTCAGCTCCTCGTCGTTGCGGATGGCCAGCTGCAGGTGACGAGGAATGATGCGCGTCTTCTTGTTGTCTCGCGCCGCATTGCCCGCCAGCTCGAGGATTTCGGCGGTCAGGTACTCCAGGACCGCCGCCATGTAGACGGGCGCGCCGGCCCCCACGCGCTCAGCGTAGTTGCCCTTGCGCAGCAGACGGTGCACCCGCCCCACCGGAAACTGCAGGCCTGCGCGGGACGAGCGCGACTTGGCCTTGGCACGGGCCTTGCCGCCTTGCTTGCCACGACCAGACATGACAGCGCCACCCACTAACAGACGCTCCCGCCAAACGCCCGACAAAGTCGCCCTCCACGGCCACGCTTCACCCTTTTATAGACAGAACGGCGATTGTCTACGAAGCGCTTTGATTGGCTACAGCACATCTTCGGCCTCGTGACCAATAGGATAGCGCAGTCAGAATCCACTCATTTACATAACCTCGTCTCCCTCGCGAGAGAGCCACTGAAAACTCGCCAATCGCAACGGGGCGTGATCAGAACCTTAATTTGCCTACAGCCTCTACAAGTACCGAGTCGCTGCCGGTCAGCCCGGGTGCTTCCTGTTGTTGTCTGCGTTCCCGCTAGGTTCTGCAGCTTGTGCCTGCCGTGATGCCTGAGCCGGCAAAATCCGCTCCCGCGCCCAAGAAGGGCTCCAAGAAAGCCGTCACCAAAGCCCAGAAAAAGGACGGCAAGAAGCGCAAGCGCAGCCGCAAGGAGAGCTATTCCATCTACGTGTACAAGGTGCTGAAGCAGGTGCACCCGGACACCGGCATCTCGTCCAAGGCCATGGGCATCATGAACTCGTTTGTCAACGACATCTTCGAGCGCATCGCGGGCGAAGCGTCGCGCTTGGCGCATTACAACAAGCGCTCGACCATCACGTCTCGGGAGATCCAGACGGCCGTGCGCCTGCTGCTGCCCGGCGAGCTGGCGAAGCACGCCGTGTCCGAGGGCACCAAGGCGGTCACCAAGTACACCAGCTCCAAGTGAGTCCCTGCCGGGACCCGGCGCTCGCACGAGTCGCCCAGCCACTTGACGCTCTAAAGGTTCTTTTCAGAGCCACCCACCTTCTCAGGGGAAGAAGCTGTCATCTTTTTACTTCATTTTTGGTGTCTGTTGCGGTACATTTTTGTACCGCCGATTCCTTTTCTAGTAAGAACTGGCCTTTCTCTTAGGTTGAAGTGGAAGAACTCCGGATAGGACCAAGTTTTGTCGATCGGTCCAGAACTAGCTAGAGTAATGAATCGTTCACTCATACAAGTAACTTACCTTTTCCAGTGAATCCGTGCGAGATGGGTGGTCAGTGTAAATCTACTCGGGGGAGGGGCTGGTGGAGTTAAGCATTAGTTGCTTTACAGCAGATAGAGTGGGTCAACTCTTTCCTGAGCTCAAAAACCAAACTCAATGTTACTTTAAAAAGCGATATTGTGATACCATGCCCCAGCATGAATAGAAAACTTACAGTGCACCTGGTTATCTTGATTCCGTGTGTCCACTGAAAAATGCACAACCTGAGTTACTAAGTGTGTTTTATTCCGTAATTTGTTGTGGACCTAAGCCCCGTAGATGGACTTCCCTCGTGGTTTAGGTGGTAAAGAATCCGCCTGCAGGGCTGGAGACCTGGGTTTGGTGGCCTGGGTTGGGAAGATCCCCTGGAGAAGGGAATGGCTACCCACTCCGGTATCTATCCTTTCTTGCGGAATGCTATGGACAGAGGAGGCTGGCAGACTCCAGCCCACGGGGTGGCAAAGGCTGACACAACTGAGCAACTAACACTCCTAAGCCCGGGAGACAGCCTTTCAAATAGCGAGCACTGAGGGGCTGTTGGGAGGAGGTAAGGGAGGAACCAGAGTATATAGCAGTTTTGCAAAAACAAACCAGGTAGTTGAATATTCATCAGAAATTTTGGCTAAAGAAAAAACCTCAATGAACTTAGCACTTCTTTATTATGTGTATGGAAAGTTGGAAGAGCAGGCTGACTGACATCGTTCCTTGATACACACTTTTCACTATCTAGGACCAGTATCCTGTTTTTCTCTATCCTGAATCCCGGGATGACTAGGGTGGCTGCAGTGGCTAGATGGCTTGATGGCCACATCCTTTGATTATGGAGATGGCAGGTGACATTTTTCATCCAGTGGACACATAGTTCAAGTAATTTTTATTCTACACACACTACTTGTCTCACTTTGCTATTCCTTTCAGATGCCTACACTGAAGTCAATATTTTGCCCAAATTCTGGATATTAAGCAACACTGTCAGAATAAGGTAATACAAAAGCCACTGTTACCCATAGTAAATTCCACACCCCCTCCCCCCCATGTTGATACCAACACAATTCCCTGTAGTTGTAGTTTTGCTATTTTATAATTTGGGTAAAGAAGCAAGAAGGAAGGAGGCTTTGGAGTCCTGGACTTCAAGCACCTGGGCCTGCCAATCCTAAAATGTGCTCCAGAGACTTTATCCAGCAGCTTTTTTGTTGTTGTTAAACCTATTTAGCCTTAAAACTACTTGCCCCTTCCCTGGAACAATTCCCTCCTCTGAAAACGGAGACACCAAAAATGAGAGAAGAAAGGCCCTCACCTTTTTTTAGACTAGATGGTTAAAAAGCAGTGTTTCCTAAAAACAGTTCAAAGGCCATTAGATCTTTATCTATCTACCCATCAAATCCTACATACTTCCACTGAATCCAAATCTCCAGGCCTTGGTGGGGGGGGTCGGGGGTGGGGGGGACAAGGATGAACAGTCTATGGAACACGTCGAGTAATTCAAATGTTTGATAACCACTGACAGATTAGATATGAGATTCCCATATTGCTTGGGAAGAACTTGTTCAGTTTGCAGTTCCCACCCTAGACATTTTCTTTTTTCCTAATTGTCCTTTCCCAGAATTGTTTGTAAAGCGACATGCATAACTAGTTTCATTTATTCCCTCATTAATACAGAGTACCAAATATTGCATAGAACTTAACATTTTCAGCCTTTACTAGGGTTTAAAAACACATTTTAAGGAGGTCAAATGAGAACAGAAGATAAAGTACTGCAAGGTATAAAGGTGAAACTTCCTGGGGGGCCAGCGCGGGGCGGGGGGGGGGGGGGAATGTTAAGCACACTGCAAGCACCCTTTTGTTCATTTTTTCTTATGTATGTACATAAAATCCCTAATACTATCTTCCAGTGTGATTTGCATTACCTCTCATCCGTCCCACCCAATCAAAAGCAGGTAACTTGTCTCCTAGTTATTGTACTAAATCCCTACTTTCTTCCGTCCCAGAAAACATTTCCTTGCTTTTGAACTGCCTTGCTTGGATCTACTGAGAGATGAGGCAGGTTGCCTGGAGCTTGGAAAGTTCAGGTAAAGCACGGCAATGTGGAGGAAAGACAGAAAGATGATAGGGGAAAGTTTGAGTTTACAGGATAAAAATAAAACAAAAATCTTCTAAGAGGCATGCAGGATGTTGGGTAGATAACCTAATTATAAGTGGGTGAGATAATGCTCAGTATTTGGTTCTGAGGACTCAAAATATGAATAGGAAAGCAGAATACAACTGGTCTGAAACATGGAGAAATCCAAGACTCAGTGCAACTTTATTACCCATCAATCAATAGTTCCCTTTAGCACCAGGATGACACTTACAAGTGTGAAAGCAAAACTGACACATTGTCTAGGTTCCTTTATGAGTATTCGTGCATATCACGTCTCACAATACGGGAGAGGGAAAAACTTCATAGTGAGATAAGTATTAATAAAACAAGCAATAAAATATCAATAAACAGAAAACGTCCCTGTCTATATAAAACTACATTCTAGTTGATGGATGCTGAGAATAAGCGAAAGAAGGAAAAGTATAATAGTATATTTAGGAGGTGATCTGTACAGCAGAATATTGAGTTTGGATGACAGATCTGATCAGTTAATGTTTGAACAGAGGCCTGAATGAAAAAAAGTGAGCCATAGGATAACTTAGAGAGGTGTATTCTCAGAACAAAGGCCCTGAGGTAGGTGTAAGTCTGAGAAGTTCAAAGAATAAGCAAGGCCACTGAGGCTGAAGCACAGTGAGCAAAGGAAGGATGTGCAGGGAGATAGGATCAGAAAGGTAGTTGAGGGTCAGATCGTGTGTGCCATTGAGAGGCCTCCTAGGCCATTGGGAAGATTTTGTCTTTAATTTGAAGTTAACTTGGAGTGCCTTTGGAGAGAGTTCCATCATGAGAGAGTTCCATGACATTCTTTGACTCATGCGAAAGCTCACCCAGGGTACTGTGTTGAAAAACAGACTAGAGGAGAGCGAGAGTAGAGGCAGGAAGGATATCAAAGAGGCTACAGTAACAGCTCAGGAGAGAGATGGGTGGTAGCCATGGAGATAGTGAGAAGTAGTCAAGATACATTTTAAATGAAATTGATGAATTGTATATAGGTTATGACTGAAAGAGAGGAGTCAAGGATTAATTGCAGGTTCTTGGACTGAGCACTTGGAAAGAGCTGCAACTTACTGATAAAAGGGGCAAGTAGGTTTGGAGGGGGAAAGCCTAGAGTAATATCTTGGGCAAAATGTTGAGATTCCTGGTTGCTATCCAAGTGGAAATATCAAATAAGAAATACCAAATTCCCATGTTGGGAATATGAAACATGAGAACCTGGAGTTGAGGGAAGAGAAAGGGGTTAGATTCTAAACTCCCACTTCTTGCTTGTTTATAGTGTTCTACCCTTTCTTTCCTGGAGTAGGAAATGGCAACGCACTCCACTGTTCTTGCCTGGAGAATGCCCTTGGACAGGAGCCTGGCAGGCTATAGTCCATGGGGTCTCAAGGAGTCAGACATGACTGACCAGCTAAGCAGAGCACCCTTTCTTTTGGGAAGCTTTTAGAATCAATGTAACATGTCTAGATACATTTTTTTCCCCTCACATCTAACTTTGGTCTCAGTATTTCACTAAAATTTGGACGTATTTGGGAGCCCTATTCCACCTACCCCAGCTGTTGACTGTTGTTATGGATTGAACTGTGTCTCCCTAAAAGATACGCTGAAGTCTAACTCCCTGGTGCCTTAGAGTGTGGCCTGATTTGAAAATGGGATCTTTGTAGATGTAATCAGTTAATAAGGGCCTTAAGGTGAAGTCGCTCAGTCGTGTCCAACTCTTTGGGACCCCGTGGACTGTATAGCCCGCCAGGCTCCTCTGTCCATGGGATTCAAGAATACTGGAGTGGGTTGCCATTCCCTTCTCCAGGGGATCTTCCCAACCCAGGGATCGAACCCGGGCCTCCTGCATTGCAGGCAGACGCTTTATCCTCTGAGCCACCAGGGAAGCGGGCTCTAATCCAAAGTGACTGATGTCCTTGAAATGTAGAAATGCACAAGAAGAAAACTGAGACAAATGGGGTTACGCTCTTGTAAATCAAAAGATAACCTGGGGCTACGAGAAGCTGAAAGACAAGGAAGGATCCTGGCCAAGAGGGACAGGGCCCCGCCAACGTGTTCACTTTAAACTTCAGAATGATGACTGAGTACATTTCTGTTGGTTTAAGCCCCTCAGTTTTGTGGGGCTTTGTTACGACAGTCCTAAGAAACCAACGCAAACTAAAAATTTTAATAATAGAATTATATTATTTAATTTTAAATAAAATTTTACAGTTTTAAAAATTCCTAGACATTCCTTCTTAACGGTAGTATTAATCTCTGGCCTGGTCAAATACTGGTTTTAAAACTTGGACATTTAGTATAAATCTATAGTTCTATTTTTCCCTTATCTGCCTCATTTGGCCTCTTTGAGACCTTCCAACATAAAAGGTCTGTTGTCTTTCCTTTTGTTCTGGGGAACTATTTATTACTATTTCTCAAATGGTTCAAGATCCCAGCTAGTTTAAATAGTATGTCATACAAACTGGCTTCACGGGATGTCCAAAAGCACAGCAGGGCTCAGAGGCTGGCTGAACTCCGTGAACGGCTCAGCTCTCCAATTCTCCCCCTCAGCAGTTGCGCTCTTGAGTGCTGT